CCTTGGGGCCCGGGGAGCCCCGTGAGCGCGAGCGCCGCGGGCCACTTCCTTGGTCCCCTACGATTCGACCCGGGCAGAGTCGCCCCTTCGGAAGCGGCCCCGCCTTAGCGAGTCGCAGGTGGACCCCGTTAGCCCGCAGCTTATCTCCTGACTGCAGCTGGAATGGTGGAAGGGGCTAGGGAAGGTAGAAAACATCTTTTTAAAGAAATACAAGTGAGGGGTTTACTTCCAGTGTTGATGCTCGGACCAAAGAAAATAATTGATTTTTGTTTTTGTCTGATTTTTCTACAGGATACCGAAGGACCTGATAAAAAAAAGTCTTTTCTTTGACTCCAGCTGCAACTGGTCTTAAGGGGAGAGAATCCATGTTGGTCAACAGAATTTGGTTTTGGCATCGCTTAAGTTTACTGCTTCAACGGCCAGACTCTGGTTGTTAAGTAACATCCAAGTGGGTATGCCTTTTTAGGGTTTTTAATTAAAAGAGAGCAGCAGCAAGAGTGGCATTTTAACTCTTCTAGTGTTTTTTTTTTTTAGTTGCTACAGTAACTAGTTTTAAGTCTACAAATATTTGCATTCTTCTTCCTAAAGAAAAGGTCACAAAGATGAATGGGGGGAGGAGAACAAAGATAGGAATTTGTACAAGATTTCAACTCAAGTGTGCAGGTTTAATATTTATTTTCCAAGAAAAGAAGTACTTTAAATTGTAATAGTGTCTGTTGAACCTAGTTGCTAGGTTCTCTGCACTTCACATGGCACAACAATCCTTTAAGGTGGACACTATCTCCATTTTAGAGAGGGGATTCTTGAGGCTCAGAGAGTTCACATATCTTTCTAGAGGTTGCACAGCTGGTTAGAAAGAAGATGGGCATCACAGATACTTTTGTAAAGCATTCGCTCTTTCCAGCATCACAATTTTCCTCAACTGTAGACAATGTTATGTGGTTCAGAACCAACCACAAACCTCCATGTCCAAGGAAAAAAGTTGAATTTTAGTTTTAAAATTATACAGAATATGGCCGGGTACCTTTCCTTTATCTTCACTCTGCATTCATTCAGCCCTTGGCACCCAGTGGTGAATCCATGGTTAGGAGAGAAAGGTGTGTACTGGAAGAAGCAATCTGAATATTAATCCTAGCTGTGAACACCACTCTAGCAGTCAGCAAACTTCTGAGTGGCAACTACTTTCAAGTTCCAAGTCTCAGGTTTCTCATTTGTAAAATGGGAATAATATTGGATTACCTTGCCAAATTGGATTATAGATAAAATATATGAAACATCCGACACAGTTAAGGGCCTGACACATAATAGATGCTCAATAAATGGTAACTACTTTTAAGTTTACAGAATACAGTCCTTCCTCTCTGGTTACAAAGTCTTGATTATTTCACTCACTACATTAATTCTTTTCAATATCTCCAACATCAGGCAGTGTGTTATGGTAGGAATCGCTTTGGAGTTAAACTATACTGACTTGGTCAAGTTGCTTAAACTCTAGATTAATCTACCAGAAGACTGTTTTAATCATATAAACCCCTCAATCTTATAGGATAAAAAGCCTAGATATCTTACATTGTGCTGGAAATCATCTATTGGATTTTCTTAAGTTTTGACACAACTTCCAAAAAAACACTGATTCTTGCTTGATACAGGTCTTCTGTCCTCTAAACTCACCATAATTCTTTTTTTTTAAATATATTTTATTGATATTTTACAGAGAGGAAGGGAGAGAGAAGGATAGAGAGTTAGAAACAACGATGAGAGAGAAACATCGATTCAGCTGCCTCCTGCACACTCCCCACCGAGGATGTGCCCGCAACCAAGGTACATGCCCTTGACCAGAATCGAACCCAAGACCCTTCAGTCCGCAGTCCGACGCTCTATCCACTGAGCCAAACCGGTTAGGGCACTCACCATAATTCTTCATTTGAATCTGTGCTGTTATATTTAGCATACTATTTCCCCCTTTACAGTTTTAATCTTGAAACTAATTCCACCTATAATTATTTAAATGCCACTTTCTTCCTGAAGCCTTCACATTGAATGTCCATTCTTTGAAATCCTGTACAACTTCACATAAGCACCCCTTAGCTACTTGTTCATATAATACTTTGTATTTTTAGATGATGAGTTAAAAAAATTTATTCTTTTTTGTCTGATATGTGCAAGGCACTGTATTTATATGTCTTAGTTATAAAAACAACCACTACATTTAGAGTATAAGAACCTTAATGTTTCAAACATTTCAATTCCTGCTGTAAAGTACAGCATACTCAGACAGACATAAGCCATGTTAAAGCAACACTCTAATGTGTGTTAACTAGATTTTGCTCATTTTAGATACTAGAATGTTTACAATTTAAATACAGTAATTGTAGAAATTGTGTATTAATTACTTATTGCTGTATAATAAATTACTCCAAAACCTAGTGGCTTAAAAGAACAAATACTTACTATCTCAGTTTCTGTGGGCCAAGGATTCAAAGTAGTTTAGCTGGGTGGTTGTAGCTCAGCATCTCAATAGGTTGCAGTCAAGCTGTTGGCCGAGACCAGTCATTGGAAGGTTGCTTACTCACGTGGCTGCTGGCAGGCCTCACTTCCTTGCCACATGAGACTCCATGAGGCTGCTTAAGTGTCCTCATGATTTGACAGCTGCCTTTCCTCAGAGTAAGTGATCTGAAAGAGTGAACAAGGAGGAAGCCACAGTACCTTTTAAGACCTACTCTCCGAAGTTGCACATCAACACTTTTGCTTTTTTCTATCCATTCAAAGTAAGTCATTAAATCCAGCTCACACTCAAGGGGAGAGGGATCAGGCTCCACTTTTTGAAAGGCGTGTTAATTTGTGGGCATTTTAAACCACCATGGTGTTTAATATAAGTATGTTCACTGAAGCAAAGTTGGAAAATATGGACACACAAAAAAGAAGAAAGCACTACTCAATGGATAGTCATTCCTTGGGTGTATATAATGCCAGTCTTTAAGATACATATATTTTCTCAAAATATAAACATACTATGTGTACTATTTTGTAAACTGCTCTTTCATTTAGCATATTGTTAAGATACTTTTCATGTCAAATATTCTTTCATAACATTTTAAATGGCTGCATAACATTATATCTATGTACTAGCAGCCTGGTGCACAAAATTCATGCCCGGGTAGGGTCCCTAGGCTTGGCAGGCAATCAGAGCCAATCAGGGCCTTCAGGTTGCCGGCAGGGCCTTCCTTTGTTCTGCACCGCCCCCTGGTGGTCAGCACATGTCATAGCGAGCAATCAAACTCCTGGTCTCCTGGTCGAACTCCCAAGGGGACACTTGGCAAATTAGCCTTTTATATATACACTGAGTGGCCAGATTATTATGACCACC